TGACGAGTTACTGTCATTGCTGATTGTAGCGGGTGCCCACTACTGCAGAGTCATTTGGCTGGAGAATAAGTAGTAACCGTGCTGTCCAGTGTAGCGAGTGATGTAGTCACCATTTTTGTGACCAAACAATATTTACAAAAATAAATAAGAAAGTCAACTTCATAGTTAACTCAGTAAAAATAAACATAACTGAACTTAAATCAGCAGAAATTATGGTCACATGCACACAGCTATACTGACCTGGTCCTTTCTCCCACTAACACCAGAGTTCTTCTGCTATCCAAACAATTTCTCCTCTGAACTATTCCATGCAGTAGGTAAGACAAATGTTACCATTCTCATAAACGTATAATGCTACTCTTTATTAGCTATAAAAACTAAGGTGTAGTCAATACATATCACAACAATAAATCCATTTCTCAACAAACACAAAGTCAAATTACAAGACTTTATCAAATTACAAGAATTCTCCCCCTTCTTGACCTGGTCTCTTCCTGTGATCTCAGACTAACCTGGACGCTATAAATACGGGGAATTGAAACTACATTTCCTCCTATTGTTCCTGGCACACAGGTAGGTTAGGTGAGTTCAAACTAGACAATTAACAAACTTGTCCGAGTTGATTTAAACCAAGATGTTACATTAAATAATCTGTAACAGTGCGAAACATAAACAAACCCGGGATAGTACACGTTTGCCTACTACAGAATACATATGAGATATGGCTAAATCAAAACAAGAATGTTAACTAAGAATATCCAGCTTTTAACTCTGAACAAAAGATGTTCTCACCCACTTTGTCACACAAACATTATAAAGGAGGTCATGATAGCTGGCATATTAATGATCATGAAACTGACCTCACGGCCCATTATTAGTCAGTGGTGCTAGTTTCAGTCATTATGCAAATGTACTGGTTATAAGGTTGGGGAACCCTGCAGTCGAGCTGAGACTAAACAAGTAATTGAATAAGCGACAAAATGTTTCTTGCACTGAAGACGCTATGTCCAGATGAACAGAATCAGCTTTGGGGGATTATAAAGAATCATATGGCAGGAATAAACAGACATTATGCTGTTACGCATGTCTTCTCAAACAAAATTACTTTCATTAAAAAAATTAAAAATGTGGTCATCGTTCTCAGCTGACTTGAATAGATGGAACATGATGTTATCTGTTTCCATAATCGATGTGGAGAAGCTGCAGAGGTGTTGCTTAGTGAGTGATCTTTAATCTACATGTTTAAGTGGTGGTGTGTCTCTTACACTTCCTTTTACCCAAAAAGGGAACTCACTATAATAGATCTGTTAAGACTGCCCTTTGTATCAGTGTGACAAAGCATTAAGTATTCAGTTAA